CAAGAGTCGTTGGGATCCGATAGATGTTTCTAATTCATGAGTAAACAAAGAAAAATTGAACGCATTTTTGATTTCTCAGAGCTGTGATAATTTCATTCCAAGGAAAAAAAAACTTTGTTGCTATAAATATAACACACTCTGTATTTGCCCCTTCAGGATGCGACAATTTTTTTCTAAACAGTCACCAAGACAATCTCAAACCAAACTCTGATTCAATTACAATCACTTCTGAACATACGGCTTGAATAGAATCCTTTGTTTACATGCTTACCACTGGAATCAGTCGGATAAGCCGTTGAGGGTGACGATTAGTTCGAGTGTGCTCGTCTTTTCGAACTAATCGGACGAGTTTCTCCTCATTGTTGACCTAAACATGGCATGAAGACGATACTTAGGTAAACAACGAAAGCTTTGAATAGAAGAAAGTTTTCATCAATGAATGAAACCCCGAACCTGAAGAAATCTCCTCTTGGTGTAAAGCTGCTCAGGTCTTGTGCTGGCACACAAGGGCATACCGCGTCCGCCGAAGTGCCGTTACAGGGCGATATTTTGTTCGGAACGCCCACGCAAACGGAGCATTTCTGTCGCGTCATTCGTTGAATCAGCTTCGTTGCTGGTAACTGTACGACGATGCGCCTAAGATAATTTCTTACTAATTGAAGGCTTTCATTTTCACCTCTGAGAAGTATTGTGTGAACGACGTCGATCAATTCCGTTTGGGATGCGCAAAAAATTCCAATTTATTTGGAACCCAGATCTTGGTGGGCAGGAAGTGGGGGGAGACCTTGAAGTGAACGCCAAAAATGAAAAATTCGAGAGCATGGGCTAAGGACCGATGACCTGTGGATCTTAACGAAGGAGAATAATCGGTTTCCTAATGAACCATTAGCCAGGTTGACTACGCTATTCAATATTCAAGACAAGTAACATCAATACAAAGAATAAACACTGATAGAGGTGTGAATGAGGTAAATATTGCACCCTCAAGCTTGTACAACGATTCCATTCTGAATTGATCTTTTTTTCTGAAAGAAATAATAGTAGTTACTGCCAGACACCTTGATCAGTACCCACTGTGACAACTCTCCGGATTAAAGCTTTTCACAAAGCATCCAAAGTTAATCAATTTTGTAAATGTCAGGCATTCTACTTCCACTTGGGTTAGAATGATAATGACATTTAAACCCTGTTCAGCATACAATGACTAGCAAGTAAGATCAACCGTCTGTTGAACAGAGCCCAAGAAGGTAGGTTGAATTCAGGGTTTCAGATGCGGACCGTCTGCGTTACCCTCCTCTGACGACAGTTTTGGGAGAAGTTTACGCGGGAGAAGCGTATTATGGTCTCAGAATCAAGTGTAACAGTAACAGCCACGGCTATGAGGGTGGTGAGGACAGGTCGTATGGGGCTCCTTTAAGGATGGTAGTGATAGGGCTCCCTTTGGGATCGGGGGATGAGCCGGAAACCTCTTTTAGGATGGGAATGGGCGCAGAAGTTTTCAAGTATGCAAAACCCTAGCTGGTGCTCCTTGACCAGCTCACGTGTAGTCTTTCAACCACCCGAATGCACGTGATGTGAGCAGAATAACCCCGGAGAGATAGAAATCTTGGCTAGCCAAAGGGAGATTTGGTCCCGAGTTCCACCCGCAAATTCTGCGCCGGTGCACATACAGCTACTCTATCGTCGCCCTTGCCTTCCTAGAATAGCTGTAGAATTTTTCAAAACCACAGTTGAAGTACATTCGCTCAATAAAATTCGAACGACAAGTTTGAAATTTCTTGTTTTGGGAAAAAGGAAAGAAAACATTGGTAAGAGATCCTCATAGCAGTGCTCTTCTTGAGAATACTTGGCGAGAGATTAGCATAAAGTATTTCAACGTTCAAACCGATAATCGTAGTAATTAAGGAAGCAAGAAGATTATTGGAGACGAGAGCCGCTAGTAGTATTAGAACATTTCCACGCTTAGCGATCAATATCCGTGTTTTTCGCATATAAGGTTTTGCTTCACAAAGACTTGTGTAGTTTGAAAGCGGAAGTCCGGTGACCGAATCGGATAGCCAGCGTTTACACTTTACCCGTTATCCCTTGCTTACCCTTTTCGCTTCACCTATATCTGATAATTAGTAAAGAAAAATTGTTAGGAATTTCAATGCCGTCCAAAATATTTAAGGTCAAGGTTTGCGATGGTATGGGTGCATTCGGTTTATAAGGGAACTTCAAAAACGCAGAAGGCCACTTAAAGGAATCTTCCACGCAGAGTCAACCCTGCGTTGCGCAGTTTTCAACGGCCACGTTGCGCAGTTTCGCCCGATTAGACACGTTCTCTCGCGCGAACATTCACACTCGCATGCTCGAGCCGTCTGCGTCTCCGCCCATACAGCGTGCGTTGAGGATCTCTCAACGTGCCGTTGCGAACTGCGCAACGCAGGGTTGACTCTGCCTTCCACGTGGACCAGTGGGCGGGACCGGAAGTTTTTGTGACGAAATGCATGGTAGGTACGGATCCACGTGTCGAACGCACGAACGTGAACAGGATTCACTTCAAACCTTCCCATGAACGTGGATCCGTACCTACCATGCATTTCGTCGCAAAACCACTTCCGGTCCCGCCCACTGGTCCATGGTCCGTGGAAGATTCCTTTAATCCTCCAATGTTGAGGAATGTTGAAAATTTGGTAGTAATTCCGCGAAACGGTTACCGTAGGCTCGTACTTACAAGGAAATGCTTCCAACTTTCCACTATCGATAGAGCCTGGAATGAATCAATAGAGTAACGAATGCTAGTTACAAATATTGAGTATAAAACTGCTTTGGAACATTCCAAGCAAATCGTGGGCGGTCAAAGTTGACAGGAAGGGTAACGCCAGTATTGGAGGCAAACGAGCTAATCTAACCGCATCGGCGTTTTTAGTTATCCTGAAACGGTACCTGAAGGGGTAAGCAGATAGCCTCGTCACGAATGTGGAATTCTTTTCTGGGACTGGCGCCAGTTTGGTCGCGCAGCTCACTTTTTTACTGCATTTTTTGCCAACCTTTGACCGCTCACTTGCCTAGAAGGTCGCGTAGCAGTTTTGGTCTACATATCTGTGAATAATATTCAGTACTCTACCGATTTGACTGGGTGTCCATCCAAAGTTCCATAAGAAATTGAAGGATTCTCTGGCTAGAAGTTATTAAAACCAAAAGCCGAGATGGTGCAGTGCCAAGTAGGGCCGTCAGCACACATACGGTCGAGGATCGGACCACGTTCGCGGCAACCTAGTTTCCAATTGCACGGAATGGCTAAAGCATTATCATACTCCTGCAGTAAAATATGCCCTTCTTGGCTCACACTCAAGATGGTAGCAAAATTCGATCCTATTGAACTTAGGGAAGCATCGTTATGTGGATTGCCCAACACGCCCAGCATTTGGCCTCCTGGTCCTACCTAGAACTAATATTTAGATGGGAGAGGCGGTCAGGGGAGGGGTGGGGTGATTTGAACAATTTTCATCGCCCCCCCCCCTCTCCCGAAATTCATCCTCTCCTCCTTGGCTCAGTCAGCAGCGGCATCTCTCCAAGCGGGGTCAACTGTGCGTTGGACAAAGTCCAACAAGGGGGGTCGTATTCGCAAGGTCGGAGGCAGCGTCAATCCTACACCAACGGGGGGTCGTAGTGTGACGCTTTACGCTTTGTGAGTGCTAAGAAAAAAATTGCCGTTTCACTGTTGATATATACCTCCGCTCGACGGCTATTTTGGAGGAAATGTGGGTGGAGTTGGGCTGTGTCAACTGGTCTCAGAATCAAATACTATAGTAACAGCTGGGGGGGGGGGTCGTATCGAGGCCCTCCAGAAGGGGGGGAGGTCGTGAAGCTTTTGAAATTTGTACAACGTGACGGTTGCCTCTGCCTCAAAGTACCCTGCACCCAAAATTAAAATGCTCATGGAACTCTATTAGTGCAAGACTTGTGAAATTACAAGATTTGTCGATTGAGAATCTCTATCCCTTATTTCTTATTAAAAGCCAGTGTCCGAACATAGATAGATCTTTAATGGACAGCTATGACTTTCTGGTTTTTCCCGTTGTCTGACCCGCGGAGAGAAGACTGTCGCCGATAATTGGAAGCGACGGGCGTAGATGTAATTTGAAGGTTGATAGGTACGGAACACACCCAGTTTAAGAACAAACAACATCTAAATCGGAACAAATGGGCGCGGCGCATTACGGAAATCACGGGTTGTTCCGGATCAGAAAATGTCTTAAAAGGGTACTGTTGGAAGCGTTTATAAAGGTTTCTGACAATATGAAAGAAAAAAGGATAATATGCGTAAGAAGAGCTGTAACAAATGGCGCTGCGACCCGCGAGGACGGTCGCGAGATCAAATCTCGGATCGAAGGCCGTCTAGATCAATAGTGTATTCCATCATTCCACATTTACTTAATTCTTACTAGACTCACCTGAAACACCGATTTCATCTTTAGTTGGTTTCTGTAACCCATGTAGATCGGATCCATTCAAATGGTCCTACAATTTTGAATGGGAAGTAGAATGCACGGTGCAACCAGGAGCTCATGTGAAGACGAGACTAAGTGATGCCAAATCAATACAAAGGCTTTCGGCTGATATCATATCTCTGGGATGTCTCACCTTTCTTAGATTATCGACATGTCTTTAAAGTAAAACACTAGGCAAGGCGAGGAAATAATGCAGGGACGAGCGAGACGCAGACAACGACATGTTTGTTGCAGTAGGTAATTGGAGCAATGCTTCACTGCCAGAGCCTATAGTTATGAGCCTGTGGTGTCGTTTTCGCACGTTTCCGGCATAACCTGGCACATTCCTCTAATGCGCATGGCATTTTTTCATTCAGGTTTTGGTAGAATGTCATTTTGAAGTTGAATCTTGAATCATTTCGCCTTTTCTAGAGTTTGCCTAGAAGCAAGCTCCTGGTTCCAAACAAAATCAATCTAACGTACACTGCTGTGCAAAACTTAGGGACAAATTAGTTGAAATAACGTAACTTTTTGATAGCTTTGTGAACCGTTTATGTCAATTGCTTTCTGTACTGCGCTGTAGCAGCTCTTTCTATGTTGGTTAGGTTCCATAGAGTTATGTTACTCGCCAGTAACACGTTATGAAAAAGCTACGATCGTTCTTAAGTTTTGCACATCAGTGCATTAATGGCCAATTATAAAAATAGTTAGAACGAATCCAATATACCACTAAAGAAGCTCCCACCAAGAATTACTCACTGGATCAGCTCTGTTGAGATCTCATATGAAAATCCAAATGTTTCAAGAAAAGAAGCCTTGTAGGTAACTGTTCAGCGCTTGGAATCTGCTGACCTTAAAGGCAGTGAACACGATGGCTGAGAGCGGAGCGATTTTTGCGATCCACTGAGCCTGATTGGTGGAACGGCGTTGAGAGGTGATCCCAACCACTCTCTTCAAGCTCTCAGAGTATTGACCACCAATGACGTCATCAAAATCGCTCCATACCCTCGCCATCGTGTTTCTTGCCCTATTAGTTTTGGCATCGTTTCTGCGTATGGAACAGTCCTATAGAAATCTCAAACTCTTCTAAATTTAGAGGCAAATCCCGGGATTGGCCCGACTAGTAGGAGGGATACCACTAGGGAAATTGCAAGGTCTGTAACTACCTAGATCACTCCAGCTTGCACGTTAGGGCCGGCAACCATCGACCCAATTTCCAACGCTCCCCACCCACCGCGAGAGGTGGTGAGATCAGCGTGCATTGATGTAGAGATCAGCGTGCTCTCTCAAACGACGTGCTCTCTCGCGTATTTTGTCTTCTTTGACCGCCCTTTCTCGCCATCGTACCACATCCGACCCTGTTAAAGGGTAAGACCTTAGTTTCAGCGTTCGCAAAGATTCCTGACAAATTCCATTCATGAATGAGAGTTTAATTAACAATTCTCGTGTCCAACAATTTCATGCTTTTGTGAAGGTGAGCCGAGCTCGTTGGGTCTGCTGGTGAAAAATACAACAACTTGTGACTAGCAACCAGTTACTCCAAATATTTTGTTCAAACACAGAGACTTCCTCAAAATTTATTTCTGGATGCGAAAAATTCCGAGAAAAAAGTGGAATTACAACATTTAAAAGCGTATCGACTAGTATTAGAGCATAGTATCAGTAAACGAAAATGAGTAAGGAGTTCGAAATGATGTACAGCAAAATGAGAAAAAAAATAATATGACGTTTTTTTTTCAGCAGAATATTAGTCACGTATGAATGACAGCATGCGAAAGTGTTTTCGAATAGAGTACTTTGCCGTGTGACGATGCAGCTCTAGACTCGAGCAGTTTAGCCAAACGTCTTTCGGAGTATCTGAACGCTACGCATGCTTTCTGAACGAGATTCTGGTCGATCGGCAGTCCTCAGAATGCCTGTTGACGTTGATGCCGGCGATTCTACGCGATATCCTGAAAATGGACGTATTAATTGAACCAACGGACACTGCTGCTGTGCAAGACTAATGCTAGGGAGAAGAAGGACATCGGAAAATTGGACATCAGTTTCGATTTCATCACTATCGAAACTATTTTAGGAGAACTTGGAACGCCTCATCGGTTTCTGCTCTTGGAATATGAGTTAGTTTATTGAGTCAGACTCAGCCAATTTCCATGGAGAGACCGCGAGCGCGACGACGGCTGTGACCTGTCCCCAAGGAGAAGCATATGAAATGATTTACTATTTTTTTATTTTATTTTGACTTATTTTTAGATTGTTTTCGTCTAGGCTTCCCACTTTTCAAACGTGTCGAATGAACGAGAGTTTGAATCCGGATTCTTCACTCTGTCTATTATGCAGATAAAGAAGTTTTAAACATGGTCCAGCTCTGAGCCTTGACCTGGGAGATCTGATTTCCTCATATAATGTTGATCCCTAAGTAGAGGTGGGAAATGTCAAAAGGCGCCGCTGAGCCCTTCCCAGGGACACGGTGAGTAATTCCAAATTTCTCTTTGCAGATGGAAATGTAGCCTCATACTCATGGCCTTAAATCCTCAAATCATTTTTTCAGGTATTCGAACGTAATCCCATTTTCGGATGAGAGACGTGTGTGGACCAACCCAAATTTTTCTTAGGGGTAAGGCTATTCAAAATTCTAAAGAACTAAGTGGTCCAGAGAAAACTTCGTCAACGGCGCGACATATCCGAAATGTGATAACTGTAAAATGTGAAATGGAAATAAATACCGTTTCTGCTGTCCGTATGGAATCGATCAGATGCAAATTCTCGACTTCTTTCCCTTCGCGACTCCTCCGCAAACGCCTCTTGCCCTCCTAAAAATCAATATTCATGTCATATGTCGCACCAGCGTATGAAATCGTGCCGGTGAATGGTGGGTGTGGGGGCAGGAGGAGGTGCTGCGTGATGAGGGATTCAAAAATGTTTTGGGAGATCTTAAGCAAAGATGGTAGTAGCGATGAGTTCACACTTGACACCTTTTTCGAACTGCATTCTTATCGAGTCAAAAACTTCACGGCCAGGTGAACGTTGTTCAACTTCACGTTCTGAACTACTCAAACTAGAACTCTGATCAGTGGTCATACTTTTATTACCCTGAAGTATCATAGTAGTAACGATGCTCACGATGAACTCAGTAAACGTTCAAAATATCCACGGGACACTTCGTACCTCGCGTTTCAAAGCTGGCCCGTCTTGGATGCGTAAACGAACGAGTATCAGTTGATGAGACAACGTGTGGCGATACCTCTCTGGTGTGCTTCTCATATCTAAGAGGCGATTTTTTACATACATCTCCAGAAATCGTGGTTCAAGCTGTTTGACGTCATGACTTGCCCCGCCTCTTGTGCTTGACAAGACGTCTCGGATAAACATCCAATTGGGCCCGACAGGAAGCCCGTCGCGCGGCGAGAAGGCAGAGACGCAGACGGGACAGCGGACGAGTCGCAGCGCGTGCTGTAGCGATTAGCGTCAAGTTAAATAGATGTACGATAATATATCCCACACTGCATAGTTATCGCTGCGACTCGCCGCTATCCGTCTGCGTCTCTGCCGTCGCGCCGCGAACGGGCTTCCTGTCGGGCCCAATTGGATGTTTATCCGAGACGTCTTGTCAAGCACAAGAGGCGGGGCAAGTCCTGCCATGCTAATATTTTTGTCGCCGATCAACAACATCTTTCAAATTGATTCATGAGAAAATCATAATTAAAAACCATACCTGTATTTGGACGATGTCGTGTAAGACTCTCCAGGTGATGCGACGCGAATCTCATGATCACGAAGTCGGTCACGGTCGTCGTCACGTCGTACATAGATTTCACGTTCACGATCACGGTCACGATCTCGCTCGCGTTCACGTTCTCGCTCACGTTCCCGTTCGAGTTCCCGCTCCCGTTCACGTTCTCGCTCACGTTCACGTTCACGCTCGCGTTCACGTTCCCGATCACGACTGTCATCACGCGATATGTAGACCTCACGAGCGCGACTTTCACGGCTGTCGCCAGTTTGTACATGAAGAGGGACCTCAGTGCCACGTGGAGAGTGTGAGCCATCTGTAGAAGGAAATGTGATGTAGAGCTCGTATTTTCCACAATACACGCCTCGGTCTTGGGAGTATGCTGTTGCCAGACTAGTGCACGGCAAGGTTTTACAAAAAGGGTTGTTGACTAGGTCGCAACGCACACGTCCCAGACCGACACGACTTATGTGCTTAATTAAGTGCTGCAATTAAGTGCTGCGTTCTTGATGGTAACAATCTTGTAAAACAAAGGGTAATTCAGACGCATTTACAGGGTTAATACATCAAAATTTCAGTAGTGAGTGTTCTCTGAGCGTTAACGGTTGTGCCACCACACCCCAATCACACCTCTGCGTTGAGGGTTGTGCCAATCACACCTCAGCGCAAAAAAGCTATAGCCCACCAATTGTGCCTGATGGTGTCATCAAAGCCGCGCTGCCCTCCAGTCGGCGCGATCACTGCTTTCAAGCATCCACAATTTCATCTGTTTAGAACAGCTTGTCGCTACCAGACGTCTTCATGGGAATACAGGGTAGACCACAGTAGAACGAGGTAAGCAAACCAGCCCTTTTGGCGTTTCGGCTGGGACCGTATGCTGAATGTTGGGGAGGGGATGGGGTCCCCAACGGTCGACGGTTTACTTCAACTCGGTTGGTACGATAGGAGAGTACTGACGCAAGTGGTGCAGCTGGTCCAGCAGCTCCGCCAGAAGGGCTGGTTTGCTCACCCCAGGACTAAGCCTTGGAGAGGGGACCCGTCCTCTCTTTAAGGCTTAGTTCTGAGGTAAGCACCAAATTGTGGCGGTTCTAAGGACCGAGTTGAAGTGGTCCGTCCACCGTCGGGGACTCCATCCCCTCCCCAACATTCAGCATACGGTCCCAGCCGAAGCGCCAAAAGGGCTGGTTTGCTTACGTCCAGTAGAACAGGCCTCCAAAAACAGTGCTGTGAGCCAGCTAGGCATTCGAATGCTTCTACTGCTATCAGAGGGATAGCACTGCATAGCCGTGGCGCATCCTCAAAGTACTGAACTGTGCGATTTGATTTATCCCCTGCTAGTTGTCTATGTATACCTGGTTCCGGTCTCTACTCTCCTTGGCTCCATGTCAATATAGGTGAAAGGATAATTAGTACAAATGTTTTCGCAGTCGCCCCCTATTAACACGTTGACGCCAGCGCGCGTTTTGGCTTTTTGGCCACGCGGGACATGAGCTTTGGTGGTCGCGATCTCCGTGACACGCAGCCGCACCACAATGTCCGTCGCGGAGCGTAGAGTGGGACGCGCATTCGCGTCACGGTCGTCGATGTGTTGAAGAAAGGTTACCCCTATCCTCCGAAGCGTGAGTAGAAGTCGTCCTACTCGCAGTAGGAAATGGGTAACGCTACCAAACCATACTTGATTAATGAAAGAACTCGACGCGTCACCGCAAACGGAGGAAAACATAGAAAAGCGAAGAGGAACGTGTTCTTTCGATCCAAATTAACAGGCTTTCCATGTGTTGCTACTTCACAACAGATTTTATTGAACGAATGTGAAATCGATTCCATCGAACTAGCAGAATTATTTCAATTCTCGCAATGAATGTGTCTACAGCGTGAGCTACTATTAGGCATCCCACCTCCTAAGCCACCAGCACCAGCAGACGCGACGCGGTCACGACTGGAACTGTGCCAAATTGCTTTTGGCCCAAATGACCCAGTGACTTCGGCTGTGAAACGCAAGCGTAAAGCATCTACATGGATCTATTGGCATGGACATAAGAGATGCTCCAAAGCTTGTTGCTGATAGGCAGTTCTTGTTAAAATCGGGTCTTCTTCAAATCCGTAAATTTCATGTTAGCAACACCACCGCCGACAACCACGTTTACCTGGGGTTAGTATGTGGTTAACCATATAAAACCAACAAAAATGGTAAGTTGTATTATTCTCACTTGAAAAGCTTAACGTAGTTTAGCCATTCTATAATAATACTTACTTGTATACGAAGATTCATGCATTCTTTCGCGATGAGATGACGACGAATGCGAACGTTGTCCACTGCCTTCGATTGGGATCGTCCTATCTCTACCCGAGACCGCATACCGACGAGGTGCTTCGACAGTAAGACGACCCTGCAAAGAACAATGGTTCATTGAGAAATAATTGACGCAGATTTGCGTGGAAATGAACTTTAACACATTGCGTACCGCGTGCGCCACCATGTGGCGCACGATTTCGCACGAAACAGCATAGTTTTATCTGATTTATTTGACATTTTTCAATGCTCCTGAACTGTTTGCACTCATTTTCAGAGCCGGGAAACCATACGTGTCATCACTGATAAAATTGTTGATAGATTAATGATGATACATTTTTGAAAAATATAAAAAATACGAAGGTATTCATACAACGGCGGTCCGCAATGTGTTAAAGCAACAACCCCAGAGTGAGGTAGCAGCAGTGGATAATGAATTTGTGGATACCGAGAAGACTGAAAATAAGAGCACAGCGCCGATGAAGCAGTTCACAAGTATTTCCTCTTTTCCTTCATGAAATAAGGAAGGGTGGGCTGGACGAATTTTTTGAGTTTCCACGCTCCACGGCTCACTATCCCGCGCTGTATTTGAATAAGTAGTTGGGCCGTAATCCATGAGGTATGCACAAGATATCTCAACCGTAAGGTCATATTAGCCGCCATAGATTCACTTTGTAAATCCCTAGCGCCATTGTCGCGCATGAACGCGGCAATGACACATCTGTGATACTTGAGGGCTACTCTATCCCACCCATTGAATGGATTCTTTGACAGGACGTCTGCTGGGATTGTTGCTTCAAAGGCAAGAATCAGGACTGAAGTAATGGAGTGATTCCACTCAAATGTGAAAGTAGGGATGGGAGGTGGACCGCCAGTGGAGAAAAAAGGAAAGAAAATCCTGAAATACACAGGAAATACGAGCATTTTGCTCCATGCTGTGGAGAAGTTCAAAAGACAGGCAGGGAGATGAGAGATAATGTGAGCGCGGAGAGTGGTAGAGAAGTCCGAGAAGAGAGAGCATAGCAGATCAACGTGGCGACGCAGACAAGATATCGAACGGTGGGCGGACCATGTTAAGTTTGGTGGAGTCTGTTAGAAGTCCATGGCGCCTAGGGTCCTAGTGACGCGTTTCGATGTAGAAAGGTGGCGCTACCTTTGCACTTGCGTACCCAGCACTTCTAGCCATGGTAAGGGCTTCTTAGGTGGGTCTAAGCTGGAACTTTGCCTTTAAGATCCCGTAAAAGGGAACCCTTATTGAAATGAGGTGGATAAAAGAGCCATCTCACAACAGTACTGAAAATGGGCCTATAACACTTACTCGAGAATCAATACTGCTTGAGATACGTGCATGATCAACGTCGCGTGGCATCTGATACTTTCGTACGAAATACATCTTGGTAAAATTGTCACGATCACGTACGTCCTCGTGACGCCCTTCTATCATCAGCGTATCATCCTGGGTTTTGACCTGAAAGTTTACGTTTACAGTAGCACTTGATTTCCATCGCGGTAATGATACGGAATTTCCAAACAAATTTGAAAGTTAAATTTGTGAACGGTTTCTTTCAGTCATGTCATTTTCCACGTAACTTTCGGAATCTTTCCCACTTTGCATCAATATTTACTTTGACACACGGTCCATACTTGGTCATGCAGTTTTTTTTACAAACATTTACATGCACTTTCAATCAATCAATGATGGATTGAAAATGAACCAAAAATCGATCGACCAGTGAAAGCAACTTTAAAGGAGGAATTCACGATTAGAATGAAGGTCGAAGAAAGGGAAACTGACCTAGTTGAGGGACCCACGGACCTCCTGAGGGTGCGAACTGACGCGCAATTCGCATGGAAAAATTTGACCTCGGCGACCTATCATGCCTCAAAGCTGGCGGGTCCGGCGATCTCCGCCCACCGATCACTCGCCGTAGTTCAATACGTGGCGAGTGATTAGATAGCTGAGAGAGCGTAGTGTTGAAGAGGGCACAGCGATGAGAGTCGCATCAATGCTCAAATCAACGGGCAAGGAAGGGGTCCCATTTCTCGGGTTCTGGGCCGTTTCTCATGGTTCTTCCTTCTTTCGTGTACCACTCACCATCCCTAGGTTAATTTGAAATGGGTTGCTTTTTCATCGTGAATTCGTCCTTTAAGTTGTAAATCAATGTTGATGGACGATTATTAGTTGGATGGGCGATTATTACTACTACCAGTGCGAATTTTTGAATGTGAGAGGTCTGATAAGTTATTTCATTCCTTTTGTAGAGCATGTTAAAATGCCACGAAGACTATTATACCTCTAAATTTTGCATCTTCGGAAGTTCGGCTTGTTTAAAATTTTTGATTTTTTTGGTTTTTTTTTTTTGAATTTGTGGAGGAATTTTATGGTTGGTATGATATCATGAGGCGGTAGCACGGAGAAATGTGAATAAATTCGAGTATTTGGGTATGTTTTCTGAATAGTATGCCATGCGAAAGATTAACCGGATTTTTCTTAATTTATAGTTCCCAAATTTGGGTTTCAAAATGCCTTTATAATAAAAATTCATTGATCTCTGACTAAGCTATAATACATCAACTACTCGACCGGAGGAATTTGTTCTCGATGGCCCTTCATTTTTTCCTTCATTTCTGTCATCCTCCTGTCATTTCTGTCATTCCCTTTGGTGGGACGGACTATGTGCTGGACAGCATTATTACTACATACATCTCTAATGAATATTCAAAAAAAATGTCCAATTGACTACATATCCACTAGTTTTACCAAACTTCGTCCACAACTTTGTCGCAATCCTACTTTCAAAATTACAAAATTCTTTTAGAATTCAAAAAAAAAACGATTTCAAAATTTATACTCAATGTAATTCCTCTAACAATCATCCCTCTTCATTTTTCATTCTCTTTCCTCACTCGTCTGATAAGTTGAATAATTCAAATACTTCCAAGTGCTGAAAAAGTGTTTTAGTCGATTCAGTCTACTCGAATGAATTCTATTAGGAACTTATTGTATCGAATTTTACGGCTATCAGTTTAATTACAATTTTTTCATGTTTTTGAAAGCTATTTGTTTAATAATAATTATTAATAACTTTAGGCATCTCATTTCATCCACACAGTGACTAATAACTATCATGTGTGGCCTAAATATAAAAGATAGTCTTGTAAATATGTGAAAAATCGAAACAGCATTCTTGTAGCTTTACCTGAATCTCCTCTGGCCTGAACTGGTAGCAGTCCACCTCAACAGCGAATCTTCGTTCATCGTTAATGATATTAGAGTGGACGTCGATACCTTCCTATACAAATGAAAAAATAATGAAAATTATTCCAGAAGGAATGGATATTATTCGAGATAAATAAAAGCAGGAAAACCTTGAAAATTGGCTCAGCCCAGCGTGGATAAATGTCCTGCCAAAATGGATCATTTCTCCAGTTGCGATCGATACGATCCAGATGAGAAGTGAACTGAAAAAAAAGTATTTTGTAAGCAGCCAAGGATTTCCTAATAAAATTCACTACTACCATTCCTAGAAAAAAACTGCGATGAAATTTATTCCATAGTGTGGACGAGATGGCGGCTGTTTCCGAAACCAGTTCGATAAACGATTTCGATCATGGAACTATTGCCTATTGCAATATTTGCACAAATCGAGCCCTCCTATGCCCTCTATTGAATCATATCAAAACGGCAACGAATAAAATTTTGCATTACGTCATCGATAAGGAAAAGCTCCAAGTTGGCGTTTTGAATATCAATTAAATTTTTCGAAAAAAAAATGAACGAAACTTACTCTCGGCATGACTGCATCCATGCGAGGCCAGTCCGACGGCCAATCACGCCACCAATGATCGGTATCGCGCCAGAACTGCAACAAAATAAAAATATAAAACAATGAAAACAGAACAATTAGAGTGTTAGAGATCCTTTGTGGAACTCCCACTAACGCCTCTATGACGATCGTTTAGAGCATTAGACAGGGTTGAGCTGATAATTGACGGGTTCACAAGTGGGATGCAGTGGTTGGTGGCTGGGAAGTGGGAGGAGTTGTGAGGGGATGATACAGACGGTGAGGTATGAGGAGTGACATTGACTGTGGCTGCTGGGGACTGGATCGTAATGGGCCGACGGGTCGCGAGGCCTAAAAGCAAGTCCAACTCTCCCTCTCTGAAACGGTCAATGAAACTGGAAAAACCCTCGACCACCAAACCGTTTGGTATTGCGAGCGCGCACAGCTGCGCCTTCAAGTGGTTTTGTATAGTTTTCACTGCTTCTAAGAACGATGTGACAATGTTTTCTGGTTTAGCGCTGTCCAGTTTTCTTGTTATGATCAAAATGCCCAAAGCCTGGGGAAACTGCTAATCGTCCACTAAAAAGAGAAAAAATTCATTGGAAGTAAAAAAAATCTGGAATATTAATTTTGGGGAACTCCTCTTCGATTTTTATTCATTTATTTATTACTATGCACTCATAGGTGGCTACAATTATTCGTCAGAAACCAAATCGGTCATGAATCGGAAAGAGTGATTCAAAGTAAACTCAAATTCAGCAATATCTTTTGATGATCACATGTTTCTGGTTCTTCAATATTATTTTAAAATCTAATTTTAAGTACTGTTAAAAGTTCTATCATCACAGTTAAAACAGATAATGCTTCTGGGTCTGCTCATAAATAATGTAATTTGGCCCCTTGAATCAATGGCCCCTCAGTGAAAACTTGCTAATTTTTGAAGAAAAAAAAATTGAAAATTCCCTAATTAGAAATGCCCGGAAACTTCATACTCAGTCTAGGAACAGGGTCGGCCCCATCGTTGAGACTTTTTGCAAATTTTTTACGACTCCCCCCCCCCCCCGTTGGTACTTGTACCAACGTAGGGTTGACCCTGTCCAGGACCATATTCAAGCTCGAAACGCGGACTCAAACTATTATAGAATCAAATTTTTCGTGAGAGCATTTTTGTGTTTTTTCTGTTCAAATAATTCTTTTCTTGCTCAGAAGATTAAATGATTCTAGTTAAGATTAAATATCAGCTCACCGGAAATTTTTTCATTTTTTTTTCTGAAAAAATGAGTTAGGTAGATAGGCGTTAAAATTGCGCAGTGCGGAGGAGTGACGAGGACAAGGTTACAGGGGCGCGTAAGTGGTTGACATAGAGTCAATTCTCTCTGGTACCACCACAATCAACTTTGTGCTATGTTCGTCCTCGACTTACTCACCCTACTCATAAGGTCTCTCGGTCGAGGCCAATCGGATGGCCAATCCTTCCAGTCATCGTACCAATCGTCACGACTCCACCATGAATCGCGATGTCGTAACGCGAAATCATCGTCGAACCAATTACGTCGCATCGTCACCGCCATTTTTGACTTTTCTTACTGAAAAATCATGAATCGTTGCTTAGAAACGTGTGTCTTAACGAAATAGGCTGAACAACCCGACATGCGGGGGTTTTTCGGCACCAACACAAGCAATAGACGTATGCTATCCTTCTGTTGGAGCAGAGAAAGAGAAAATGCTTTTACGTTGATTTTTTTAACCGCTTTATATTACACGCATATATTCCCACAAATCTATGCTTTTCCAGAGCGATTCTGTTTGGGAAGACGGAGAAACTTTATGAGGGGATGTTCTTACCCTTTTCTTTAAGAGATGGTTAGCAAAAAGCCCAATATGGGATATTGTTGAGAAAATAATGCGCTCTAATCAACCGAGATGATGTGACAGAGTTCGTACAGGTACGAGGTGAATCGATGAGAATTTTATGACAGAGTCGATTTGAAAACAAACACTCAGCGCCATCATCACCGCCGATTTCATGTGTATCACGTGAAGTCAGTAGATGTTTTTGTGTTACGGGCCTGATTCGCGCGATGTCGCCGCCATGGCTCCACCGCGCGACGGCGACGACGACGACGGGGGCGTAGGTTATCGCCGCGCGCGCGACAACTGGTTTTAACACCTTCGAACGCCGAGAATTCACCAAATAGAAAGAGCGCGCACGAAAGAGGAAAGTCACATTCAATTTGTGGTCTCACAGATGTTTGCCGTACGATCGAACAATGCTATACGTCGAAGCGCCGTCGGATGTCATGTCAAACATCGGCCACGGCAATCGGTTTACTTTTTCGGTTACGGATCATAAAGGTTATAGTGCGCATGAAAGCCCTATCTCCTACTATAAAACACGAAAAACCAGCCGTTCCTGGCAGTACTAGGCGGGATTTTTCTTGAGAGCCTCCTACTACGGCACAATTATCCCACGAAAAACTTTCTCAAAAAAGGTTAAAATAATCAGGGAAATATAAAGTGAAAATAAATGCCAACTTTGCATTAATTACTTCCACACTAATTACAGTACTCCATTAAAAAGATAATGAATGACACTACGACTCCACTAAAAGCAATCCTTAAAAATAGGAAAATAGAAGAGCAATATCGATTTTTTTTTGAAATTCACAATTCAGAATAAGAAGAATAAACAGCCGAATATGCACTGCCGAGTATTACACAGTGAAACGAGTAAGCGTTGATCCTAGTGGGGTGGGTTGGGTGCGCGGTCTTTTATACTCATCAAAGGGGTGGGGTTGGGCGGTTCCCCATCCTCGCCGACATACGTTGAATCACACAGTATTACATCGGAGTAATTGTTGCTCTAGATGGGAACGGGGCGGGCCAATGACAATGACTCATAATATCGGTTGATAATACGTAGATAATGTTTTTATCACATGAAAAAGGAGACGCCCTATTTTTCGATTTTTAAATAGTTTTTTGCGCGTTGTATTGTCTCATCCAAAGAGCGCTGTCTAACGGCTTCAATTGCCATAATTCTAGAGGTAAAGGGCATAAATTGAGTAAATACTACCAATTGACCCATCTTCATGGACACGTGGTCTGCTACAAGTAGCTTGAACAATTTCAAGAGAGTACTAGTGAGTATTAGGGCGCTTGGAAGAAGGTTGAGCACTACAGTACACGCAGTTACTCCCCCCCCCCCCGATGCGCAGGTCCTGGACCTTCGCCTGCCGAGAGTTCCATCGAGTGGTGGTGGTGAATCGCAACTATAGCCAACCGCGGCCTAGACCCTAAGCTAGGCCAGCTTTCAAGTGCAACTCTAGGTATAGATTGATAGGCGCTGTAGATTGATAGGCGCCCAGCTCAGCGCTCAGAAGACTGTGATTCTGAATAAGGTCACATGCTGGCGTTTCCTTAAACTTTTGTAATTCTACTCGAAAACTCAGCTATGGTTGATTTTATTTTTATGAGCAGTCCCACATTTTTTTAGCAGTTTTGCAGGCTAAAGAAAATGAATGATAGGCGAGTTCACATTCTTCCACAGCTCGGGTATCTGTTGGTGAACCTTCGGTGAACAAGAATAGATTCCTTTAGCATTCAGAAGAGAAGGAATCAAAATAATTTAGATAGAATCGATTGATATTGTGAAGTTGTGTACAGTTGTGTTTATGCAACCGCAAATTGTGAATTGTCAAACACAGTACTACTAAAATAATGGTTTCACTTGAAATTTTCAACTGGTACATGGACGAAATATTTCAGAGTATACTAAATGTTTCATTGCAGGTATGGTCGACTTTTATTCGAAATTATTCTTAGTTGATCGAGGCATACCCTTCTTAAGGATCTTTCGAAATATTGGAATCCGATTGGGATACGAACACGTTGATACACCGTAAAAATCTAATACATTCACTAGAGTATGTTTTGGAGCTGATCTTAGGTCTGATTTTTAATGAGGTTTTTGCGTAGAAGTGCTATAAACTGGGAACTGGGGATTCCAGCAGTATTCCACTTCTTCGATAGCAGAGGAGAAATTATTTCCCTCTGATGAGGTCACCCCTTGTTCACCTTAAACATCTGGTAGAAACGCTAAAAAGCACTAGAGCAATGACGCCTGACGGTTAAGACTCTCCGATTTCTACCTACGTTCAAACTTTTAGGGGTACACTGCCTGGGCGAAATGTATGTGTGAGGATGGTAATGCTCCGATGACGCTACTGAAAGTTCTTAGTGGTCTGAACCCCTCGACGTGCTGGAAGTGGGGGATTACCGTCTCTTAACGCCCTTCCACTATTGACGTCAGGTGACGCCATCACAGCCGCATTCAGGGTCGGTCCTATCGTTGCTACTTTTCGAAAAATTTTTACGACCCCCCTCCCCCAAGGTGGATTTGGTACGACCCCCTTTTCGACCCTCGACCACCATATTCCTCTCTATAGTATTTAATTCTGGTACCACTCAACCCACCAAAACTCCGCCCACTTTTTCCTCCAAAAATGCCGTCGAGCGGGGGGGTATATAGTCACTCTGAAACAGTAAAAATTTACCTAAATTCCCTAAATTTCCACCAATTTCATGCCAACTTCTTACAATCGAAGCAAATACGACCCCCCCGTTGCTACTTGTAGCAACATAGGGTTGACCCTGGCCGCATTGCCTTCCGGCTATCGCGTAAAGGCCTCTCGGTGAAGTTCTCCATCTAATACCTTTTCTGTCAGTGAAAACTGCACTGGTGCGATAGCGAAAAATGAAGTTAAGGACTTTTGGGATTATTTTGAATTTTTCAAAGCTTTTTTGCAATACCTTCCGGAACCTCGTAGCATTCTTGATAACTATTATACTGAGGTTCTGATTACGGTGTTCACCTGGGAGTGCTCTGTTTAGCGGAAAGAATTTCAGGATGTTCACCAGAAAGAATTTCATTTCATGAGAAAATTGACCAAAATTCCATTTCGCCTTGGTTGAAATTCACCTTCCCCAGGAATTCTGTTCAATTGTTATTGAATATTTCAAAAAAGGTTTTGTTCGGCTTTCGTCAACGTTGGAAAGTTCTATAGAGTGTAAGACGTAGTGAATGCAATGCCGTTTGATTTTTTGCATTTTACGAGTCATTTGATGACAGTCTTGACAGCATTTCCGCTACTGCTACCTAGCAAGGCAAAATCGATAAGGCCCTTCTCGAGAACTGGGCTATTTTTCTATCCGACTACTGACGTTGATAAAATATCAGCACCATTACATTCATATACCAGTTAGTAGTTGTTGCAATGATAGCAATCACGGTTACTGTATGTCGGAGACTAATTATAGAAAAAAAGGTTCACCGATTGTGATTACTGTAAAGGATACGCCGTGCTCTCGACTCTCACATAAACGCAAAAACAAATTGAGTATGAAATTTGCCTGAACAAAAAACCGTAGAACAAATAAAGACAGCTTCTTCTTCATCCCAGAGAAATTTGTAACCAGCTAAGTAGTCTTGTGAAAATGAAAGGTATTCGTGGCCTGGGCAAGAGTGGATCGACGGATAGTGCGTTTGATAGCGGCGTTCGATGTTACTGTGACACCATCGCGTGGCAGCAAATGTAAAAGCAAAGGGATCCTTACTGTACCTTACTTCTGTACCTGTAGTGGTTTAAATAAGGATTTCAAAATCACAACGTTTTGGTCGATTTTACAAACATATTTCACCGCTGACATTTATAGGTGCTCGGTCGAATTTGATGCTCTCATCTGAATGAAATTGAATGCGAATCAATAAACAAATTCCTTTTTTAGCTATCTTACACTTTTCGACTACCACGTCATCTTGGTGACAGTCGTGATTCGTACAATTGATTTTGAGAAGACATGAAAAAATCTCGTTTCAGTTGCAGTACATATCGAGCAATTACGTCTCATTCCGCTAGGGGTCGCTTGGCCTCCCGATTGCGCTGTTGAGCTGCAGAGCGTGTGAAGAAAACCAAGTTCTTGAATTACAAAGAGGACCTAGGGCCGATTATCTGGACAGGGCAGTCATGGATGTCCATGTTTTCAAGGCTGTGGAGATTTCTCGGAGGAGAGCGATCCTCCGCTGATAGTCAAGTGGACCAGGCAGCGAGGGCGCGGATAAGCGAAGGGTGGATGGAACGGAAAGGGTCCACTGGTATCTGCTGGGATCTTAAGTGCTCCAATGCGTTCAAAGGCAACCTGTGTGGAAGGAGTACGGTGCTGTAGTGAGTACGGTGCTTTGCGGTAACGAATTCTGGTCCGCAAGGATGAACCTCAGAAAGAAATGAGAATCATGAGATGGGCATACGGCTACATTGGAAGGTGCAGGATAAGAAACAGGACAGAGCAAGAGGACATCAGAGCGGTCATACAGACTGCCCCAGTCGAAGAAGCAGTGCCTGCTACGGTATGGGCACGCACTGAGAAAGCCACAAGATCAAAAGTAAGAAAGGCAGTAGAATCGAAGCCCAAAGAGGCTAAGCTTCTGTGATCCCCATTTAAGACCTACTATATGTAGAAAGACACCGTCAGGAAGGATCTCATCGATGTGATGGCCACGTGGGAGATGCCT